ACAAAAGCAAGCAAGCTGGGCTCTGAAAGAAATGTCATACTTAAGGTGGCACAAGCTCTATGGGAAGGTGGGGAGAGCATGTTCAGGATCAGGGGAATGGCATGAACAAAGCAGAAAACTGCGTAAGAGTAGACCTGTTGCAGGAATGGAAGGTTCAGAAGGATTGCAGTGGGAGAGAAAATTAAAGACAGAGTTATGAGTAATCTGGGCTTTGAATTCAAGGTTCCAAAGATTACACTCCATTCTGCAGACATTAGAAACAGTTACTATTGGCAAGGTGGGAAGAGGAATGTGCGAGACACATACTTTCAGCAAGAATCTGCCTCTGTAGATGGGAGACAGTAGGGGGTCAGTGGTAGTGTGCAGAAGAGTGACTGTGGCACACAGAGTTGTAGAGCTGTAAGGAACAAGAGAAAGGGAAGGGACATTGTGAAGGACTGTTGGCAGGACTTGGTGACGGATTAGATATGAGGTGGTATTAAAGTGATACCGGCTTTTTAAGTCTGGGCAACAGGAGAATGCACATTATCTTTAACAGAAATAGAAAAGCTGGCATGTGAGGGTCAGGTGATGTGTTCAGTTTTAGGCATATGGAGTTTGAGGTAATGGCAAACATCTTAATGGAGCAGTCCAGCAGGTAGCCAGAGTCTGAAAAAAATTAATGGAACTTTTTCTGACCAGGAAGGAACCTGATAGATCATCTCTCCTTCCTGCCCTCTCATTTTACAGATGATAAAACATGTGACATGTTAAGTGGCATGATCATTATCAAGCAGTACTTATGCAAAGGAATTCTAGTTTTATAAAATGAAAAAGACTGGGAAGAAAGATGCCTGTGTGGGATGAAACCTGACACTACAGGCATGAAGCCCACAAAAGGAAAGAATTTGGAATGTATGGAGCAGGAAGAGTCAAGGGCCACAGAGCTACTTCTACACTAAAGGTGGGAGGAGGGAGGGAGCTGGCAAAGGAGCCAAAAGCTGCACTTAGGGGGTGCAGCGAGGGGTCAGTTGGGAGAGGTCAGTAAACAGGAACGATAGTCACAGCAGCTTACGGGACCCAGGCCAGGCACTGTTCTACGTGCTGTATGTGGACCAAATAGTGGAATCTTTATGACTGTACGTGGTAGAGCCAGAATTTGCCAGTCAAGCATGATTTTAGGGGAGTGATGAACACAGGAGCAAGTAGTTCAGAGACTGTTGGCCGCAAAGAGAGAGAGGAGGTGGTAGTTCAAGGTTCTAGGCAAAGTTACTTTTCAGATTAGGAGCTCTGAGACTGATGGACGTCCAGAAGTCAGGGCAGGGCAGCCAGAGAGGGGAAGTAGAGACACAAGGTCCTAGTGGAGAAGCTGAGACCTTGAGCACTGGGTAAGCCATCAGTCTTGGGCAAGAACAGAGAGAAAACATTTATTCTTCAGAGACTGCTTACTAGCTCCCAGCCTTTTCACTACTGAAGGCCATTTTTATTATTCCCCACCTTCCAAGGACTCCAAGTTTTCAAAGATTTTGATTATCAACTTTAAGCTTTTATTTTAAAGTTGTATGCAGTGCAATGTCTAGATCTTAAGTTTACTGTTTAATGAGTTTTGACTAGTAACTTTAATATAGTAATTCATTTCCTATTTGTATTACTCAAAGATACATAAAATTGCTAATTAGAACTTGGATTATCAAGTTAATACAATCTAGCTAAAAGTAAGGATAGGTGACAATTTAGTTAACCTGTTTAATGTATTTGAGGCCTTTTGAAATATAGAATCATATTAGTTCATAGATCCATATCATCATCATCTAAGACTCCCAAGGTCCAGGAACCCCAAGTGAGTGAACAGGCTCAGTCAGTTATGGGAAGAGCTGGCCGAGAAGAATAGGACCATTGTTGGCCTTAGGCTTAATAGTTTCTTTCTCTTTCTTTATTATATATATTTTTATATATATATACATATATATACATAGTGAAATGGTTACTATGGTCAAGCAAATTGGCATATCCATTATCTCACATGGTTACCCCTTTTTTTGTGGCAAGAACACTTAAGATCTATTCATTTAGCAAAAATCACAAATATAATATGATATTACAGATTGAGCATCCCTAATCTGAAAATCAAAATGGTTCAAAATCCAAAACTTTGAGCACTGACATGATCCTACAAGTGGAAAAATTGTACACTTGACCTTCTGTGACGGGTCACAGTCAAAATGCAGTCACATCTTTGTTTAATGGACGTAATTATTAAAAGTTTTGCATAAAGGCTGGGTGCAGTGGCTCACACCTATAATCCTAGCACTCTGGGAGGCCAAGGTGGGAAGACTGCTTGAGGTCAGGAGTTCAAGACCAGCCTGAGCAAGAGTGAGAATCCGTCTCTACTAAAAATAGAAAAATTAGCTGGGCATCATGTCAAGTGTCTGTAGTCCCAGCTACTCAGGTGGCTGAGGCAAGAGAATCACTTGAGCCCAGGAGTTTGAGGTTGCAGTGAGCTACCATGATGCCATGGCACTCAATCCAGGGCAACAGAGTGAGACTCTGTATCAAAAAAAAAAAAAAAATAAGTATTGTATAAAATTACCTTCAGGCTATGTATTTAAGGTGGATATGAAACAAACGAATTTCATGTTTAGTCTTGGGCCCCATCAAAGATAGCTCATTATGTGTATGCAAATACTCCAAAATCTGAAAAAAAACTAAAAAAAATCTGAACTCTGAAACATTCTGTTCCCAAGCATTTCAGATAAAGGATACTCAACCCGTATTAACTACAGTCCTCATGGTGTACATTAGATCTCTAGACTTGTTTATCCTACGTATCTGCAACTTTGTATCCGTTGATCTACATCTTCCCATTTGCTCTCCCACTACCTGTAACTGCTGTTTTATTCTCTATGTCTGTGTATTTGACTTTTTTTCCAAGATTCCACATATAAGTGAGATCATGCAGTACTTTTCTTTGTCTCTGGCTTATTTCACTTAGTATAATGTCCTCTAGGTTCATCTATGTTGCAGCAAATGACAAGATCTCCCTGTTTTTAAAGATTGAATAATGTTTCATTGTATATGCATATATGTAGACCACAGTTCCTTTATCCATTTGTCCATGGATAACACTTTGTTGTTTCCATGTCTTAGCTATTGTGAACATGGGAGTGCAGATACCTTTACAAGGTGATGATTTCATTTCCTTTGGTAATGATGTGATGGTAATGTTTAAGAAGGGAGTTCTTACCTTTTAGAGATATATGCTGAAACATTTACAGATGATGTGGTATCTGGGATCTAGTACAAAATAATTCCATGTGACGGTAGGGGTAAAAAAAAAAATGCAACAACACAAGCCTGAATTGATAATTGTTGAAGTGGGTACATAGGAATTCATTATACTATTTTGACCGCTTTTATATATGTTTTAAATTTTCCCATAATACAAAAGTTTGAAAGAAAGGAATAAATACAATTAAGGATGTCAGTCAGGGTTTAGTTGCATTTAACAGAGATCCTTTTATCCATGTTAAGCAAAACGGATTTAGTACAAGGAATCAAGTGCCTATAAATTAGTTAAAATTGCTGGCAGAACAGACTCTTCGCTGGGCCTCTAGGAATAATTACCATAACAACACCATTCAACTGGCCTGCTAAGGTTAACTGCTATTTGTACCTCCATCGGGAAGTCAGGAAACCAGGAAGCCATTATCTCTACTGCATGCTCCAGGAGCACATCACTTGAGCCGAATCTGATGATCAGGAATCATAGCTACAACTGTTGGCTCCAGTGCTACCTGCTGCACCTTTTGGAACTGACCAAGGAAAATGGATGCCTTGCTCTGGCCACCACTGCTCTCTGATAAGTGGAATCTCGATCGTATCTAGCGCCCTAGCTGCAAGGGAGTATGGGAAATGTAGTTTTCAACTTTCTCTCCTTGGCAGGACTAGACTAGAAAGAGGAGGGAACAAATACTGAGGGGGTCAGTCTACCACAAAGTATTAGCAATTACTATATCAGTACTTTTCCCAGTACAAGTAATGCCTTCCCTATCTTCCAATCTAATATTACCTATTTTTAGACACAGTTCAAGTCCTATCTCTTTATAAAACCTTAGCTGGTTTTATAGGCCTCATTTATTTCTCCTCCTTCCTGCCTTCCTTTCTTCTTTCCTTCATGCATACCTACATATATGTACTATGTATGTATGTATGTATGTCTCTGAAATATTTCTGGACCTATTCTTTGTTCTGCCGTGTAATTTGCTCTGTATCATGCAAATATTTTATGGTACACTGTCATTTTATATAGGAAAGTCTTGATTGCTTAAATAGGCTCTAAGTGACTTAAGGCCAGACAAGTTTGTGTATCTTGTCCTTTGATACATAACGCCATACAGAGTAAAGAGTAAGTTTATGTATTATACATTGGTACAAGTAATAAAATGTACCAATAAGCATGCCAAGGTGATAATGTTTGCCTTAAGTACCTCACAAGATTGTGGCAAGGATCAGAAATGTTCTGTACTGAATAAACTAATTTGTAACCTACTATAAATGTTGAGCGATAGTAATTATGGTTGGGTCAACATCAAGATCTTCATACCACGACTCCAGTCTGCCTTTTAATTAATTGTATAGTCTAATGATTGCTTCTATCTTTCAGTGAAACTATAATTCTTTGTTTGTTGAACTCAACCTGCACTTCCTGCCTCTGTGCCATTGACCATGTTCTCCTTCCACTGAGAAGTTTCAGCTCAGGCTCCATCTCCCCCTGTCAATCTCCGCTCCACCTAGCACTCTGGATGTCCACCAATAATGGTGGGATGTCAGTCTCTGGCACAGTCAGGCAGTTAACCACGCGTTACCAGTAATGGTATAGACCTGTGTTTAGTGACATAACTCAGGATAGGAGGTGATTCTTTGTTAAGTGAAAAAAAATGTTTTAAAAACTCATTGGTATGATTTCTGTTTTTGTAAATGTGTATCTACTTTTTATATGTACTGATTCTTTCATTTAACAGATATTTATTGAGTGTCTACTGCGGGCCAGGCGCTATATCTATGTGCATAGAAAAACCCTGGGGAAGACCATACAACGATATATATACAGTGATCATCTCTGCTTGCTGAGATAATAGGTGAATTGTTTCTTTTAGCCTATTTTGCTACATTTGCAAAATTGTGTTTTCCAATATTTCTGCCCAAACCTGTATTTATTTATTTATTAATAAAAAACTGTTTTAAAAAATTCTGTTCTTCAGAATGCTTACAATATATTTATATTCCATGAAAAAGTAGGTTAAAAACAATCTAAAAATCCCTGATGTTAAAATAAAAAGGGGGCCGGGGACTAGACACAGAAAGAGCAAGAAGGAGAAAATACATCAAAATCTTAACAGTGGCCCATTTTGGGGTGCTGGAAATTCTTTTACAATGTCTGTTCTAAAGATTCTATAGTGATGCTGCCTCAGATCCCTGAATTTGACATTTTTCAAACTTTTTTAATCCCTTCACCGCTTAATACCCAATAAATACATGATAAATTGAAGAAATAGTATTTTCCAAGTATGGCCTCATCCTTGGTGATATGTGTCGCTAACGCTGTTAATTTTCCCCTTCCTTTTCTGTTTTCATTTTCAAGAACAAGTTAGATTTCAGAGAGGTTATTTTATAACAATAAAAATGTATTGTGTGGCATTTACCTAATACTGACATTATTTTAGTGGCCGAGACTTCATCTATTCTTTTTATTCTTTTTCCTTTTTGTCCATTTCTTTAAGTGACTAGTTATATATACACACACACATACACATACATATTTTTAATGTGAAAGTTTAAATTTAAACAGTAGACTCCAGATCTATTATTAGTCAATCCTTTCTCTCCTCAGAAAATTTTTGTCTGGTGCCCTATTTCCTTCCAGTTTGTAGAGGGGAAAAAAAAGTCTCTGTAACCAGATTGGAAATGCCATCGGCTGAATTAACTTTCTGTCAGACCTGTAATATCACTTCAGTGGCCTTTGAGGTAGTCATACAAGAGTCAGTGTGACAAGACTCCTAGAAATTACCCAGTCGAGCCCATTTGGACAACTTTCATCATTTGCTTCTAAGGGTGAGAATGGGGTTCAGCCATTTTAATGTATTTCAGCTTTTGCAAAGTAAAGACAGATTGCAAACCATTGCTGCTGTGTGAAGACGCTGAAGGCAGAGATGGGCTGGTCTCTGGCACTACCTCTGTGGCTAGAAGAACCAGCCTCAGCCCAGGGCAAGGGGGCTCAATCTCCCTGTCCAGGCTCTCTGCCTTCCAGGAAAGGCCTTGCAGGAAGGATGAGCTTCCTGGAACCTGAGATATTAGAAAGTGCTCGCGTTGTGACACATAACAGGATTCTGAAACCAGGGATCCCGAAACTTTTATTCTAGGGAGGAGACTATGTGAACAAAAAGGAGTAAAGCGAGGCCTGGCTGTGAAAAGGGAAAAAGAGAATTTCTGAAAAAAAATCATTCTAGGGTATTTTCTGTGGGTCTTCAAATATTATAAATTAGTAAAATGTTTCTTGGGATACTACTAGGGTGCTTACTTAGAGGGGCTCATTGGAGTTTGACTGTTAACTGGGTTACAGTCATCTTATGGAATTCAGGATCAGATAAAGTATCAAAACGTTGTCCAAGGGGATTTGCCAATGGACATATTAAAAAAAAAAATTCACTGACATTCCACTTTGTTCCATGGTCCCATCACCTCACTGAGAGTGTCTCCGTGAGGCTCCCATGCATATATTGGCCTTGCTTTTGAAGTTGTGTTTGCCATCTGCTTTTTGACTTGTGATGCTGCACCCCTGAAACTCTTTCCCTCCCTTTTATACTATTGGTGATATTGGTGACCCCTCAGAAATTTAAACCACAGTCATCCATGTGGGAGAAAATGTGAACTCTGGAAGTCTTTTGTTTCTGATGAGGAAATATAGTAGCAGGTGGATTAACTCAAATCCCCTGAGTATGAGTTTTTAATTCCCTAATTCCATGACATGGAGTAATTTCATTGAAGAGATTGATTTAATCTCTTGCAGTTGATGGATAAACTGTTTGCAAAATTTCAAAACACAAATTCAACCTTTGCTGGTTGACCACCAGGTTGGGTAGTTGATCCCTGGTGATGCCATTTATTGAGGATTTGCGTTTTTATTAAGCTGGATTGCTAAATCAGAGGTGCTTTTGTGTCTATACAGTTGGTACCCAGGTAGATGTGTGGCTTGTGATCGGATACATTAAAATAACTGAATTGCTTTCATTTTAAACACACTGTTTCATAAAAGGGCATCTATATTGCCAGCAGCTATCATGTCATTCCTATAAACCTGAGCATTAAGATTATGAAACATGACTCACTTTATAGTTAAAAATGGAGGGAAATTTATAAAAGGCATAAAATTAGAGATGAGCCTCTATAACTTGATACACAAAGATTGCTTTGATACATCTAGTCGTGAAATGTAAAAGTTGTATTATCAATAAATTAACCATGTATTTACTTGTGGTAGTTTATTTTTAATCAGTGATGTTTTTCATATGTTTAATTATTTTTTATTTTGCTGTATTTTAGGTGTGTCAAACATATTTTTGCTGCTGTCTACTAAATACATTTAGAACAAGAGAAATTTGGACTAATTATTTGACTACAGATACTTTCTAATCATGATGCATTTCAAAAGTGGACTTGAATTAACTGAGTTGCAAAACATGACAGTGCCTGAGGACGATAACATTAGCAATGATTCCAATGATTTCACAGAAGTAGAAAATGGTCAAATAAATAGGTAAGTATTTTTGCACTAACACTTTCTATCATTAGATAAAAGAAATGGCTCAAAAAAATTATTCTGGATTTTAGTTATTCTCTTGAATTATTCATAACTAAAGTTATGTTCCATCTGAAGATGCAATTTGAATTTCTTATGTGACATCTGTTGAGCATAGTCTACAATAACAGATGAAGCAAATAGGAAAGTAAATTATTCATCTTTTTAAATCTTTCAAGTCTAATAAAAATGTGTAAATACATTGGACCCCAACCAGGCTCTGTGTTATGAATTAGACAGACGATTGGAATTTCATGGCATCCCATATCCAAATGTGTACTATAGTCATTTGTACACATTTGGAGACATGGTAAAAGTTGCATTTGCCAATGATCTTGTGTGAAAACTGCAAGTATGTCATCATTATAGGCATCATTTGTAGTGTGGATTTTAAATAAGAATAGTTGAGCCCAAATGGCTCTATGAGGAACTATAGTACATGAAAGAGAAAGAAAGGAAAGATGCCATGAATGCGAAAGGCAGAGGGGAGGAGGGAGAGAGGCAAGGTGGGAAGAGTGCTGGCCTAGAAGCTTCCTGCCACCAGCTGTGACCTTGGGCAAGCCCATCTAACTCTCCGGTCTGTGTTTCTTAAATTACAAGAGTAGAACCAAATGTCTTTTAAAAAAAAATGATTTGGGGCATTATCTGACCTATTGATTTTATAGCTGGTTTGGGTAGATCCTTAGCAGGAAGCCCTCCAGCTGGGGAGTTAGTGGCACAGCCTTCGAAAAAACTAGGAGAAGGGAGTGATGTATATGGGACTATTAGAACACCAACAGGGCTAGGCTTTGGGAGGGTCAAGAGCAAATTGGGATGGGAGTGGATAAGAACACTATATCAACTAACCAGGCATTTTTGTGGAAATCATTTCTGATTGTCTACTCTACATTCTGGTAGAGTGGGTAATTGAAAGCCCGGCGTTGGATTTAATAATACATGTACTCAGAAGTTCTGACCCTGTCTCTCCTTTTTTCCTCCCTTAAATGTGCTTAGAGGTTAAGTCCCAATCCAGACACTTTTCTTCATTATCATCCAAGTATTGTTTACTGTGTTAGGTGATGTTTCTTATTATTGGACTCAAGTGTTACTTCTTTTGTCTTATCTGAGTGATGACTACCTAATAACTACCATTTCTTGAGTGTCAGATATTTTACATAGTTAAATATGTTAATGTGTTAATAGTTAAATATGCAAATATGTTAATATGTTAAATAGTTAAATATGTTACATATTTCTTATAACCGCCATGCAAAGCAGCTATGCTTCTGCAAATGAAAAAAATGTCAAAATTTAGTGTACAAATGAGGAAACTGAGGCACAGAGAAATAAAATAACTTGCCCACGGGCACACACAGGTCTGTCTAAAGTTCTTGTCTTTCTACTCTACCCTCCTGCCTCTGGTTACAATGCTTGGACATTGGCACAAAGGCTAGTCTTCAATATTTCTATTAAATTCTACCAGTGCCATTTTATGTGCTGTACTCCCGGAGTATTCTGTAGTCACTACTGACCTCCACTGAATGGTGCAAGGGATTCTTACCATTTCACAAGTAGAACATTTTGGTTTTATAACAAAGCTTCAGTCTCAAAGCAATCCACATCTCAAGGACCTTAAAGTGAGAGCCATTTATAATATTCAGTTTAGAATCTGAACTCAATTTTAAAAAGTATTACTTACTAAAAATGTGAAGTTTTTGAGGCAATTATCACTTGCAGTAAATGGAAGGAATACCTGTGTTCACCCCAGACTTGGGCACCTTGCCCAGATGAGCTCCCTTTCCCGCAGCCTCTGAACAGGGCAGTGAACTGGTGCAGAGTGAGAACTGTTGGATGTTGGCCACTTGTTTTGTAGAATTTGGTTCCACAAATGCAGTGTGATGTGTTGACTTCTTTATTTCCCTTCCTTCACTGACTCAGTTTGTGAATCTTGCTTCATTTCTGGCTCTAAGGCAATTAAATTAAAATCAACATATTATAGCATGAAGCTAATAAATGTAAATAAAATTTTTAAAAGATCCCTGCCAATTTTATTTAAGGTCTCTATTGGGTGATCTGGCTTACTGTATTGGCATATTTTGGTAGTCCATGATTTCTGCAAAAGCTACACCTAAATACCCCTCGAGACTGGGTGCAATGGCTCATGTTTATAATCCTTGCACTTTGGGAGGCCAAGGCGGGAGGATTGCTTGAGGTAAGGAGTTCGAGACCAGCCTGGGCAACAGCGAGATGCCGTCTCTACAAAAAATAGAAAAATTATTCAGGTGCGGTGGTGTCCACTTGTAGTCCCAGCTACTTGGGAATCTGACCCAGGAGGATTTCTTGAGCCCAGGAGTTCAAGGTTTCAGTGAGCTATGATGACCCCACTGCACTCTAGCCCCAGCAACAGAGTGAGAGCCTGTCTATAAATAAATAAATACCCCTCACACTTCCTGCAGCTTTCTCATTTGTGGGAGAAAGGTAGGCCCAATTGTATAAGTCTAAGAGAACCATCCCTCCCCAAACCGTGAATTTCTAGGTAACGGTGCATCTTTTTCGGAAGATGTTGAAAGGAAAATGTTGAAAGGATGTTTAGGAAAATGTTGAAAACAAACGTTGATCTTAGATTACCTGGCATCTAGCTAATATCTTTGCTTGGAAACTCCTCACTAGGATATAATAAGAATCATTTTTCAAGTTTAGTTAGAAATACAGTAGAACCATTGGACATTAAGACAACTGCCCATATTCCAGTTCAGTTGTTTTATTGTATCTCCTAATTTTTGGACTGTAGTCATAGAAACCTATACCTGGAATGGCAAAACCTTTTTTTATAAAATGTTCATGAGACTGGTGCTGCAGACACTTTAATATGTATATGAAACACTTGGAAACCTTGTTAAAATGCAGATTCTGATTCTGTGTGACTGGGTGGGGCCCGAATTACTGATTTCTAGCAAACTCCAGGTGATGCCCATACTGCTGGTCTGTGGGCCACACTTGCAGTAGCAAGCTCTAGACTCTTCCTCTAGATGTAAACTTCTTGAAAGAATGAACTGTTTTATCTTTATCTTATCCCTAGTACCTATCATAGTGCCTGCTACAGGGTGGACATTGCAAAATATGTGTTGAAAGAGAGTGAGACTGAGAGAGAGTAGTTAAGTACGTGGCTTTGGATTTCGACTTGTAGTGAATCCTGGCTCAGTCACAGATTTTATATGATCTTGTGCTCTGATCCTCAGTCTCATTCCTTTAACACAGGGATAATAATAATACTTTACCTTATGGGATTGTTGGGGAATATTTAATGCAATACTGTTTGTAGGTTAAGAACTCAGGCTCTGCACTCAGCCAGCCTAGGTTCAAATCTTGTGACAACAGTGTAGGTATTAGTAATGTAACTTTGGTCAAGTTACTTACTTTCTCAAAAATGGGCTAAAAATAATACCAACCACATGTAATTATTGTGAAAATAGATGAGAAAACCCATGTAAAATACTTGACACAGTGTCTGGCAATAGTAAGCCTCTTAGTATGAGAAAAGTCTATGCAATCCTCTTTCTTCAGCAAGCACTTTTCTTCTCCACCCCTAGGAGCAGTAATATTGCTTTAGGTTTTGGATGATTGCAAGTTATTGCTACCTTAAATTTATTCAAATATTAGTAGATTATCCTAGATGTATCCAGACAAATATTCATATATTTTAGTATTTATCTGCTGTTCTCATCTCTGTGTATAATTATTGTTGTCATGACCCAGGAACTATTGAACAAAATTTGAGAGTTTTTCATTAAGATTTGTTCTTTAGAGAATTTGAAGCAACTCTTATCATTTGAGTCAGCCTTTTGTTGTTGTTGTCATCCTATACATCTTTCAGAACTCATGGACTAAATTTTTATCACTCCAGAGGACTCTTGAAAAATTCTCCCTTCTCTTCTTCTAATATGTTTTCTATATCTTAGGGAAGAAGATTCCATACCTTCTTCCTGTATTCAATTTTTATGTCAGAACCTCACTGTAATCACTCCTGTTACAATTAAAGTCTCTTTTCTCCTATTTTCAGTGGAGTTTTTCTCCCAAATAATGCTTTGCTTACCTCTTTGTCTCTTCTCTTTAAATCCTTGTTTTTTTAATTCCTTTTTAAAATATGTTTTCCAATCTCTTTGTTACTTCTTTCCTCCCATTTTCTTTTCCTTTTTTATAGGATGTTAGCATTTTGGGGTAAGGTCATTTAAGTTCAACCAATCATCTCTTTTGTGTTATGAATCTTCAAATGAGACACTATAATCTAGTGAGAGTCTGCTTGGTAGAGATTAAAGTAGGAAGATTATCTTCCTATCGTACAACTCATCCTTAACTGGATTGTTGTTGATTTCTTTTTGGTTTTAAATAGCAGGTTTATGTTCCCACTTCTCGTCACCCTGTGCAGTGTGACTGACAGCTACATCCTTTTTAAGGCTTTGTCTATACAGGGTCACCACATTTGTCTATTTGGGGTCACTGTTATAGGGTTTGTTTTGCTTTGTTTTGTTCACAGAGCAATTGGCCACCTTAAGCTTAATTAAATTCTGCTTTATGGCTACAGACCCACCCAGTGCAAACTCTTTTTTTTCTTTTTCTTTTTTTTAGTACTTTTATCATCCTGAGACCACATGTCAAAGGCACCTTCTCCTATAGCACATTTTTAGTCAATTTTATTGCCAGAGGTCATGCTTTTTAACAAGCAATTGCATTTTTAAAATGGTGAGATAGCAGAAACTTGTGATAAGCTGCTCGACCTATTTAATTTGAATGGAATTTTCCATTACAAAAAGGTTGGTTTTAATCTATTCTTTAAAAATTTTCAGAAATACAAAGCAAAGATTTAAAGACTAATGAGAAGAAAAAGTTGAAATACCATGAAGAGAATAAAGAGGCTTTCTTTAAGAACTTCATTCTTACTTTCCCTGCAGCCTAAGCTACTCCCTAATTTCTTTTTTTTTTGAGACAGAGTCTCACTCTGTTGCCCAGGCTAGAGTGCCGTGGGGTCAGCTTAGCTCACAGCAACCTCAAACTCCTGGGCTCAAACGATCCTCCTGCCTCAGCCTCCCGAGTAGCTGGGACTATAGGCACGCGCCACCGTGCCCAGCTAATTTTTTCTATTTTTAGTTGTTTGGCTAATTTCTTTCTATTTCTAGTAGAGACAGGGTCTCACTCTTGCTCAGGCTGGTCTCGAACTCCTGAGCTCAAGCAATCCTCCTGCCTCAGCCTCCCAGAGTGCTAGGATTACAGGCGTGAGCCACTGCGCCCGGCTCCTAATTTCTAAATAGAAGATGCGCGTTCAGTTTGTGGAGAGTTCCTCTGAGTTGCTAATGTGTGGGTAGGTAGATGATACAGCGACAGCACTACTCAACCACTCTGGATGCAAGATGAGTTCAGTGACGAAGCCTGTGCTACAGATGAAGTAGTAAGTAGGTCAAAGTCCAAACCAGAGTGGAATAAGACTTGTGGAAGATGCGGGTTTGAATCGGCAGGAGGGGATTGGCTGAGAGGAGGACGGAGGGCCTCCGCGGGGGAGAGTGGATTCCCACTGCCTTGTTTTTAGTCTCTACTCTCAGAGTGCACTGGTCTTGTGTCAGCCCTCATCCCTTCTCAGGAGGGGCAGGGGGAGATAAGGTTGGAACATTGAGGCAAAATCAAATTAAGCAGTACCTGAAATTGCAGAGTGAGGAATTTGTACTTGGAACCTATTGAATGAGGGAGCCAGTGCAGATTTTTGGGAAAACCTATTAAATCTTGCTGCAGAAAGTAGACCAAAAGAGACAGAATCACTCAACAAGCAATAAGTTTTAATGTACTTTTTAAGGGTTAGTCATTAAAACAGCTCTGTCAGTCAGTATCATTATTCTCATTCTGCACAAGTTCTGCAGGAAATAGCTGGCAATCATGCAGGGACCTTATTCTTCCTCCCCTTCAATTGCACAGTGTTTGACCCTGCTGAGTGCCCCCTCGTGTCACAGTGCCTGTGTCCCTTTCTTCTCTGCACACCAGTCCTCTGCCACCAACACTGGGGACTGTTGCCAAGCCTGGAACTTAAATCTGCTGTAACAGGCAGTTTATTGGTACTTTGGTTTGCTTGAAAATGTTCAGGCTTCTCCTTTAATTTAAAAATAATGGAAATTCTCTTTGGAAAACAACTTCCTCCACAAGAAAAACAAATGGGAGACCTGCTGGATAAAGATTTAGTAGACTTGAGTTAGTTATTAAAATTAGCCTGATTAAATACAATTGGCCCTCCGTATCTGTGGGTTCTGTATCTATGGATTTAACCGAGGATAGAAAACTTTCAGAAAAAAATAAAAATAAAAAGACAACAATACAAGAATAAAGAATAATACAAAAATATACTATAACAACTATTTATATAGCATTTACATTGTATTAGGTATTATAAGTAATCTAGAGATTATTTAAAGTATACAGGAGGATATGCATAGGTTATACACAAATACTATGTCATTGTGTATCGGACTGGTATCTGCAGCAGGGAGAGTGGTGTCCTGGAACCAATCCCCCCCCAATACCAAGGGACACTGTACAGTCTTTTATTTAACAGCAACACTTAAATATGAGTCAATTTCATTTTGGAAAGTCCATCACCCTTGTTTCCTTGGACTGCCCATGTGAAAAGGGAAGGCTGCTTTCCTCTGCCCCTCTGTAGCCACATTGTAAACCTCAATTCTGGGGAAAGATTTAAAACGTTAAGGTCAAAAGAAAGGCCAAACCAATCATTACAGCAATGCTATACAGCTGCCAGAGTTGGTCTCCAAAGATATTGCTTTCATTATGTCATTCTCTTGCTAAAAACATGCAATACTGTTTCTTGGGCTTCTGCCTTTAAACTTCCCCTGGCTAATCTCACCCAAACCTGGAGTTTTCTTTTCTGGATTCCTTATTTCATCTTAATCTCCACAGCCAGACATTCCTATACTGGTGTTAGCTGGTATGGTCTTCCCTCAGCTGGAGGGTCAGCTCCTATGTTTCAGAAAACCGTGGTTTTTCCTCCACATCCTTTTGATCTCTCACAATGACTGGCAGGTGCTAGCCAAAGGCAGGGTTTGCAAATTGTGCAGCTAAATACCAAGTGAAGGTCTCAGAGTAAGTTTGTAGTATGTATATTTCCTATCTTTGGTTTATCCTGGTGAAATGACAAACTTGGAGATGTAATGCCAGGGAGAACCAGATCCCTTGGATTAAAGATGAAAAAGGTAGATAAATAAAATCAACATTGATGCTATACATGTTTCATTTAAAGTTTTATTGTGAAATATAGCATCATTCAAAAAAATGTATGGAAATATAATGTATAGTTTAAAGATACATGCTTCTTTAAGATAGTCCAGTTCAAGGAAAAATTCACTGTGATTAGTTCTTACCATGACCCGATAATTGAATTTCCAGATCTAGAAGAGCCAAAAAGCATCCCTCACACGTCTTACTAATACATGCAGCAGTTTTCCTATGTGGGAACTTTTCTTTGACAAAAGCATTTTTTTTAATGGAGAATTTTTAAAAATTAGAAATTTAGGCCAGAAGGTTCTGATATCAACCCTGAATATATTTGATTGTTCTTAGAGCTTTTTGAATTACTTCTATTTATTCCTATTTAATACACAGTTTACTCCATTCTACCTGTCTGACTCATTCCCTTCCCAGTTCAAGTCCCACTTTCCCCATGGAGAGAAATGACTAACATCAATTGCTCTTATTCCATGCCAGGCGAGGGACTGATGTTTAACATGTGCTGTCTCATTTAATTCTCCCAGTAATTTGGATAAGATAATGTAATAGTGTTACTCCCATTTCATAGATGAGGAAACTTAAGGCCCATGCCCAGGCCCTCAGAGCTAGTGAGGATTTGAACTCGTGTTCTAAATGCCATGCTTTCTTAAAGCCCTGGCTCTGACCTTAGACATGGACCAAATGCCTTGCCACCACCCTCACCCCGCACCATAATTTCCTAGTCTGAACTTTTATAGCCTAGTGTCTGCATCACTTATTGCATACCCCCACGTCTCCCCATTGCTTCTTCCCATCACCTGCATACAGCACGTGCTGAAGGAATGTTGGATGGTGAAACAGTTGTTTTCTTTTTTGCAGGGGAGAGGGAATTTCTATTTAATACCTTGGTACTCCAAGAATGTGAGCTCAGAAGGAAACCTGCCTCCAGTATTCTTTTAAATACAAAGTTTGTAGTCTTGATATTATCTAATTTTCCATTTAGAGAAAAATCTCTATAAATGGTACTTATTGTGTATAGTATTTAAATTTATTACTGATTCAAAATATATAGGTCTTTTTGATTTATGGTGATCTTTTATTTCATCTCAAGATGAGCACCTATTATTGGCATTATTTTGTACTAGGTAGAGTGAGGGATATAAACATGAATGAGGCAAAGTACCTGCCCTTGGGGCACTTATACTTTACTTGGTAAAAATAAGAATGTAGATAACTAATACTGGCAAAAAGAGAGAGAGAGAGAAATACAGCAGTTGAATACGGCTATAAGCTCTTAGGGAAGCAATTAGTAACTTTTCATGTGTAATATGCTTTGGTAAGTAATAACACATTTAGTCATGATGTTAAGCTTCAAATCATTATGAGGTTAAATGTATTATGCATGTCTTTACAGCAAGTTTATTTCTGATCGTGAAAGTAGAAGAAGTCTCACAAACAGCCATTTGGAAAAAAAGAAATGTGATGAATATGTAAGTATCATTATAATAAAATATGCATATTTATTAGCACATAAATTGGGGTGTTTTGAATTCATGTAACATAGTAGCAGAAGCATAGCTACCTGTATTCACCAGGATAATCCTCATAGCCTGTGTATTTTCTCCTGAAATCCATTTAAAAAAACCCAACTAGATCACTGAAAAAGGATTTCTTGAATTTTATTTCCATCTTGCTTCCTAGTAGTGCTTTAAGGGCTTTGGCTTGATGAACTTTCTTTGGGACTAGTGTGATTAGTGTGAATGTTTGTCTCTTTGTTCAGATTCCAGGAACAACCTCCTTGGGCATGTCTGTTTTTAACCTAAGCAATGCCATTATGGGCAGTGGGATTTTGGGACTTGCCTTTGCCCTGGCAAACACTGGAATCCTGCTTTTTCTGTGAGTATTGACATGACAGTACTTTCCATAATAAAACTGTATTTTCTGTATGTTTCTGTTATTCCATAGAAGAAACTGGAAAGATTTCTAAGTAGTTTTTCTTTTTTTTATTAACTTGGCTAACTTACCAGTACATACTTTTATATGTATTGCTTGAATGATTTTCCAAAATGCACCTAATGCTTATGAGAAAAAGGAAGGAGAAAAATCTTTTTATTAACCAAAAATACTGAAATAAGCATATGTAAATAGGATTAAAACATTTGGAAATACCTTTTTTTTTTCTTTTTTGTATTTTTGGACTCTTTACCTGTCACTTTAAATCTTAGCTAAACACTCAAAATAGTAAGAGATCTTTAATTCACCCAGTCACCACTTTGGCATTTGGATGCTGTGCAGCATGTACTATGTCCAAAGGTAAAAACAAATTTGTTTGTAATAAATATTCAAGAAGCAGAGAAACGTTCATGTTTTGAAGATGAGAAATTAGTGTGTACTTTCCCTCTGAGATTCACTGAAAAGAAAATGGGCAATTTTCTTTTTAAATAAGTTCATCTCAAACTGTTGGGTGGGACTTTCTGCAAATATAGAGAGGGCTTATTTTCAGTTGGAACAAGATTAAGACAGATCATAGAATTTGTACCAGGAAAATTCTCACCCAGCCTGATTCCCCTCTCAAAACCTACACGAGTATAGTGGTGAGGCAAGGTGAAATCCTCCTCTCCCGGGATCTCGCCTTTCTTTTTTGACCCTCCTCTTCTGCTCTTTGTTGACCTTGCTTACTAGTCTTTTTTGTTGTGTCCCCTTGGCAGGAGCATCATTTCCTTGGAAGTGGTGACCAAAATGGCTCCTCATCCTACAAACTGTACATATTCCTTTAGAAAGACATAGAAAATTTGAGATGAAAGAACATAACTACCTATTCCATTACTCAGGGAACAGAAACACCCATGCATGCTGTGTCCTATTAGGGATTCATATTCTTACTTTTGTGTGTAAACCCACCAGAGTGTCTTTCCTAGAATTAAAGAACTCTGTGTAGGACAGTAAGTTCAATACATTTTCTTCCATATTGTCAACCTAACTCAGTAAACCCAACTCTAGCCTCTTTTCTCTGTCACCCTGGGTGAATCTTTCTAAGTTGCCTTTCTGCTTATATATATCTTGAGCCAAGTGCCAGGTTGTAGGGTAAAATTATAAAATTGGACATGTTTCTATGGTGATTTTTTTTTTATACGTGTGAAACTGTGACCCTCTGAGGATACTGCAGACATAGTGGGAAGCTACACTTCTGATTTTCAGGGCATTGATGTGAGACACCTGAGTGCTAGTCCGAACTCCTCTTCTAAATGGCTATGTAGTATTAAGCCAGTTACTTAGCCACTCTGAGCTTCAGTTTCTTCCTCTTTAAAATGAGGAAATTGTGCAAGAAAAATCTCAGAACTCTATGGTTCTGTGTCATTCCAAAGCTGGAAATATATTCAGTTCAGAAAGGTGTTTTACATTGATCTCTCTCTCTCTCTTTTTTTTTTTTAGTTATTGTAATATATGTTATATGTTAACATAGTGGAAAGAGTCAATTCTTTAATGATGCTAACAACTCCTGTAGCTCTTTCTTTGTGCCAAGTACTACTCTAAGTGTTTATGCTTACAATTCTATGAAGTAGGTACTATTGCTACTTCCCTGTTACACAGATAAGGGAACTGAGGCATGCAGAGTAACTTTCTTTTTGGAATCTCTCTTTCTCACCATTTTGGGGACTTCCTTCACCTCTAGAACCTTTGTTTCCTACATCCCATTTCTTCCTCTTTCTGGATTTACTTCTCTCCTATTATTGCTGAGAAAAGGTGAATGGAAATAAAATTTTTGAGACCTTCATGTCTGATATATGTTTTTATTCTACCTTCACCTTTGATTGGTAGTTTGGCTGGATATAGAACTCTATATTGGCAATAATTTTCCTTCAGAATTTTGAAGGCGTTACTCCATTGCCTTCTAGCTTTTTCTGTTGTGAAGTCCCATATGCTTCTGATTCCTGATCTTTCATATATAGCCAGATTTTGTTTGTTTGTTCGTTTTTCTAGAAACTTGTCAAATCTCTCTGTTCCCAATGTTCTACAGTTTCACAATGATGTGCCTTGCTGTGGGCCTGTTTTCATCAGTTGTGTCAGGCAACGAGTGCATCCTTTTCTTTTAGAAATCTATAGCCTTCAGTTTGGGGAAATGTTCTTACATTATCGTATTGATGAATTCCTTCCTTCTGTTTCTCTTTTCTCTCTTTCCGGAACAATTACCCACATTTTGGACCTCTGGACTAGTCCTCTAATTTTTTAATCTTTTCTTTATTTTCATTTCTATGTTTCACTGTACTTTTGGGGGATATGTCCTCAATTTCCCCCTCAACTCTTTATTGAATGTTTTATATATGTTACTATTTTTTATTTATAGGAGCTTT